TATCAGGATCAGGCAGAAGGCGGAGACCAGATAAAATATTAGCAAGAAATGTTTCCCTTGGTTCTGAGTATAAAGGACAATTTAAAACATAGTGTGGTAAGTCCTCAGTCAAACTTCTACAAATACATATAAAATCCATGGATTTTTTTTTAAAAAATGTCCGAGTAGCATCTCTGGTGGCATTGACTGGAAACATAATGAAGAGAATGCAATTCTAAGATTTCGGTTAAATTTCTGCTCTAAAGTGATTTTTTAAAATGGTTTTATACCATGGAGCAAATTTTGATTGATTTATTAGAAATTTGTCAGTTAGGCCATCCTGGAGTACCCTTTGGTAAGGCTAAAATTTTTGGATTATTTCCAAATTACTGAGTGTTAGTTCTTCCCATCCCCAGTTCTCAATTCTGTACAGTAGATGAGCAATAACTTTGGAAACAAAGAGCTTCAGAGCCAGTGCAATCAAAAAACCACCTCTAGGCTTCAGTCACACACACTAAATAATCCACTTTCAATACACTTTCAGTGCACTTTCCAACTGGATTTTACTGTGTGAACTGGTGCTGAAAATTTTGTAATTTGGCAAGTATGATCTTGTACATACAGCTGTGATCTTTACCATAATTAGGGCCAGATAGAAATAGATGGATGAAATGAGGGTGGTAGGCTGGATGACAGAAAGAAACAACAGAAAGAGAATAGGAGTGTGGTCCAGTCATGGCACAAGTAAGGAATATGGGACTGGCCCTTGGATCAGTTACCAAGAAGCATGGAATGTCCTTACAACTGCTATGTAGTTCCCTTATTTCTTGTGTATTCCATGCTCCTTTGGTTGCATGCGCAGCAATGGAGAAGCTGTTGCAGGGCTCAGTTTTGCCTGAACCCCTTGCCATAATGCAAAATATCTCAAGAAAAGCTGTGATTATTTAGTGACAAGGGCAGGATACTCTACACATGCCTCGAGGCAACATTCATTAAAAATACTTCACAACCTCCCATGTTTGGCCTTGGTAATGAGAACAGGATCGAGGGTTTAAAATCTGTTTTAAATCAAGGTCAATATTAATATCAAGAGACACACATCCAGACACATTTGTAACCAGAACAATTTGGAGAGCATGGGCAGTTACCATGAGAGATTAGGGCTGCCAAGTCCCCCTAGGGGGTGGGGATGGTCTACTGGTCATAAGATATACTCATCAACTGTATATGTATAACTTTCAGCTCTGTGTATAAAAAGTTTTAAGAGTCTGGTATTTGGATCATTTCTTTTAACCTAGTTTATCTTTTACTAATGTGTAAAAGGTAAAGGTAAAGGTTCCCTTGCTCGAAAGCCAGTTGAGTCCGACTCTAGGGTTGCGGTGCTCATCTCCGTTTCAAAGCCGAAGAGCCAGCGCTGTCTGAAGACGTCTCCGTGGTCATGTGGCCAGCATGACTAAACACCAAGGCGCACAGAACGCTGTTACCTTCCCACCGAAGTGGTACCTATTTACCTACTTGCAATTTCTTGCTTTCTAACTATAATAAATATTTGCATTTTTATAATAAATTGTTTTGTTAGCATGACCCTTAAATCAAGGTTTATTTATAACTTGTAACTGTCATTAGCCAATTGCTATCATACACAACTCCGCAGTACATTATTTGTCCTGAGCCAGGACAGATGCTTTTGCCATGAACAGTCTTGTGGTCTCCCCTTCATTCCTTACAATCACCATAGCTGCTGCTATTAGGATTGCAAGGGCAAAGTTTGGTGTGGGAACTCTGGAAGCAGCACTGTCATCTTACTGGGGGAATCACTACTGCATTATCACAATCATATGAGGAACCATTTCACACAAACCACTTCCTGCAGGGCACAATACCCACACTGTTCCTTTGCTTATATGAACTGGGCCTAAAGGCTGACTCAAACCGTAAGGCCCCCATGTGGTGTGCGTAGAGTTTACTGAAAATCAATTCCATGTGGTTCTCCACATGGAAGCTGCCAGATCTGTTGTTCTTCAGATGACATAAACAGATTTAAAGGCTCAATTAATGTGCAAAATAAATGGATTAGATGCATGCAAATCCACACTGATAGATCTAGGGTTGCCAAGTCCTCACCTCATGAAGAGCGGGGGAGTCCAGTGCTGGTCTGGGAGTCCATGCGTGCGCATGCCGCAATTACGTCACCCGGAAGTGATGCAATCACATCGGGCACGTTGGGGGCGGGGCCACAATCATCCGAGGGAAAACCATAGAGTTTTCTATGTGGCTGCCATTTGAGGGGAAAACTCTTTGTTTTCCCCTCAAATGGTGTGGCCCCGCCCAGCATGTGACGTCACTTCCGGTGACGCGCTTCGCGCGCGCGCGCACAAGGAAGAAGACGACTCCCGGAAGGGAAGGAGCCTCCCCCGCCGGTGAGTCAAATCGATTTGGCAAGCCTAAGTGAATCAGAAATTTTTGCCATAACAAGATATTCCCACAGCTTGTCCTGCCAGGTTGTTAAGGAAGGTGCTGTTGGGGATTTCCAGCTAGCGGCAATGGATAAGCGAGCTACTGCCAGAAGAGTTGAGATAAGATCCCTTTTTTGGTCCTGGATGGAGTCGTCCCAGTGGTTCAG